TTCTGACTCTGGTTCGTATTCAACTTACCCCAAGATATAAACTAGTTTGCAGTTGAAAGGCCCTCTCTTGAAAAATACCCTCCTTCAGGGCTGCCGTTTCCCTGCAGGGCTTGCAAAAAAATAAGGGATACCGGGGGTCAACAAGACAACCCCTGCTTCACTCCCGATGCGAGAAAAAGTGCCGGCTGGGACGCGGATGTTGTTGTTCGTTCCTCGAGTAGACATGATTTACCCTCTTTCCAACAATGACTCAGTTGTTCAGTGACCCTGGAAAAAAAAGGAACCCTTTTTTGGGCTTGGACCATTTTAGTGGTTGGCCGCCACCAGAAAAAAGGGGGAAAAAGAATTGGTGCCACTGAACAACTGAGATGATGGAAGTGGTAAAGTAGTCCTCCCACACCTTCCCGTTGATCCGCAATCCGTTCCGGTGGGCTTCCATAGTTTTTGGAGCTACTTGCAAGCGCTTGGCAGAAAGGGCCATACCCACCGCCCCTCTTTCTGCTTGGATTCAGACGCCTGCACGGGAACAAAAGGTGCTCATTGCGACATGGATGGTTTTGTAGCTATCCCGCCCTGGAACAAGAAATAGAAACTGGTGGGATGGTTTTGTAGCTTTAGCTCCTATCCCGCCCTGGAACAAGAACAGAAACTGGTTCTTTGGTGATGCGAACCTGGACACGACCTAAGGTTCTACTTCTGAGCTTTGTTCTGCTTAGGCGCTGACGTCATCAACACCCGTGGAACGAGATCGATTTGCCAAAAAAAAAGAAAAGGGCCTCCAGAGAGTTGTGTCCTAGGCTGGAAAAATCGGACCCCGGCAGAAAAATATTATTATTATTTTTTTTGCCAGGTGAGTGAAAAAAACAGAGGGACCCCCAAAAAAGCAAAAAACAAGCAAAAAGGGGAGCTACTTCTGGGGAAGATACAAGGGGGGAGCCTTGTCAGGCCGTTTGATGCACCAGTTGGCAAGAAACCGTTCTCAGCTGCTCCTGAGCGAAAAGGTCGTTGGACCTTTGAGGGGTTCGGCCGGTGTCCTGGTGGTTTCCCTGCAAACCAACCTGAAAAGGGTAGCGCACCTCAGACCCATGCCGTGTCTTGACCACCAAAGACAAATGCATCCGTGTGCGCGTTTTTTTCGGGCACCCCTCTTTTGGGTGGTTCTCAAGACAAAACCAGCTCCAGAGTCTCGGTGTTTGAAGGCAATTGGCCTTGTAGCTGAAATGTAAAACGGAAGCCATTCCTCGGTTGCTTTCTGCTCCCCTGCTAAGAGTTTAACTTTTAGTGGTTTAGTGGAAACCCCATTAGTTGGCAAAAAGTTGAAGTCCTAACAGCCAAGCAAAATGCACCAAATACTTGTTGAAGATTCCCCCTATCATATCTCACTCTATTTCCCCCTGATGGTGGTGTTTAACAATCCTTTTTCGGAACCCCCGAAATGGGAGGTGTCCTTTTGGCGTCCCTTTAAAACCATCCAAAACGGGAGTCGGAAATAGACACACCCATACGGGTGTGGTTCCTTTTTTGGGGAGTACCCCTATGTGGATGGCAAAGTGACTCCAAGAGGAAAACTGTTGCGACATTTTGTGTGTGGGGGAGGTCACAAAAAAAAAAAAAAAACGCCAGTGTTCCCTGTTTTGAGCTACACTTAACTGGATGCCGTGCCTTGAAGCCGGCCAGCATGGCCGCTAGCCGCCGCGCTTCCCGGTCGGTGAAGCGTTTACGGCGTCAAGTTCGTGTGCTTTTGCATGTGTTTCCTGTGGTTTATACAGATACTAGGTCCTCCGGAGGTTAGAATAAGGGTACCCTTTTTTCTGCAGTGAATTTTAGTAGCGAAACCCAAAACCCCGACAAAGGTAAAAGGGCACTGCTGGGGGACCTAGGATATGGTGTGGCGAGCAAAACTTCCAGGAGCCACACCCCCGGTTTGAGACTTCTCCATTTGCCAGGGTTCACAGATTGTGGGGCACTAGTTTTGAGCCACACTCAAATGTTTCACCCCCAAATCCACAACTGATTTCTTCCCATTGACTCTAAATGGGTATCTCCTTTTTGGGGGGCCACCAAATAATGAGTATTAGCCACTTTCTGCTATAACCATGGCTGTTAACCACTTACAAAGTACTCTGCCCCTCTAAGTACCCTGCCAACTCTCTATGGGAGCTAGGAATAACCTAGATAAGGCCATTGTCCAACCCCCAAGCGGATTCTCAGCTTCCTAAGCACTTCGGGAGTAGGCGTCCTCGTGGCTTCTCGGTTGCTTTCTGCTCCCCAGCGAAAAGTGCCTAACTTTTAGTGGGTTCATTCGGAAAACCCACTTGGCAGAAAGTTGAAGTCCTAGCATCCAAGCAAAATGCGCCTCTGATTTGGTTTTCTACCCCCAGTGCAAAAAAGTTGCCACACAAGTCGACAGTGGCTTGGTCGCCTTTTTTGGGAGAGGCGCCCTGTGCGGTTTGGGCTTTGGTCGCCTGGTGCGGCCTCGCAATGCTGGAGCCAGACCAGTGACGAGTGCGCATGAGATCGACATCGACACGCCAAGGATCTCTCTGAGTAGGCCATTCATCCCTTGCTACAAATAAAGCTTGGAGTGGTATGGGTCTGAATTTGAATTAGGGCCCCTTGGGTGGACACCATTTAGGTGGGGATCCATGTCCACCAACCACTTCTGGGGTTCACCCATACCATTCTCTCGGTACCCAACAAGCAACGCCGTCTGAGTGGATTTCTTTCCCATCTACCATCTCCCATATCTAAACTGCAAAGGTCTAACAAGTGAACTTTAGGCTTCGGCCCAACAACAGGAGACATGAAGGGTCTAACCCTCCCAAAGCGGAAAGGAATCCTCAAGGCAACCCAACCCCGTTTTGGGCCCCAACAGCCCTGAGCAGGTGATTGAGACCTATTTTTACTGGCATCCATTTGTTTCCAAGTGTCGTAAAGGTAACACTCCTATTCCCGGTTCGTTTCCTCGTTTCGATCAGCTCGCTTTCTCTTCCCAAGGCGAAGAATGACCTGAAACCCCCCGTTTCTTCGGACATTTCGCCACTTGAATCCCTTTTCCAGGGGGCCCCGAGGCTCTGGTTGCTTGAACACATGCCCTTTCCGGGGCCCCAAGTGAGAAGAAAAAACAAGTGAGAACTCGCTTTTGGTCCTGTAAGGGTAGAAGTGCGGCCGTCAACCAAAATCCGAAGCTCCAAATGTGGGGGTTGGTCATTGTTTGAGTCTAGGAAACCCTGAAAGGCAGGTCAAGCCTAAAAAAACCTGAGGCGTAAAGCCCGACGCTCCCCAAATCCGCCGTAAAGCCTTTGACCCGAGTCCCTTACTATGCGAAAATGTAGTGGGCCTCGTGGCTTTGGTGAAAAAAACGATTCGGGCCCATGTCATCCTTGGGTTGATTCCCCATGCTCTGTTCAACCATCGTTCTTTTCAACAACCAGCCATTTTTTTCTGGGTGTCTGGAGGTCTTCTAGAAAGAAGGATCCCTGGAGAGGATAAGGCACCACTAGAATCCTCAAAATAACAATCAGCTACTAGCACGACTTTTGTCTTGTCCCGCGCAAACAATTTCTTCACCACTGGGCCCATTGAATGGATGAATGACCAACCAAAAATCATCACGCCCTTACTCGGGTCAATGAAACAATCCATTAGATCGTCGTTGTCAGGGTAATTATGTTGCTCACATGTTTGGCCTTGAAGGAATGTGTCCATTCAACGCCTCTCGGCAGAGTTGGGACGAGAAGGGAAACCAAAGGCAGCCGCTGACACAATTTTCACCCCACAAGGGTAAAACCAGCGTAAACGGAAACTAAAGGAACCTCGTTGAACAAGTCTCTGCCCAAACAGGCGTGAGAATCTTGTAGGGACGGGTAGCAATTTCCCAGATGCTCAGTGGCCATGGGACGGGCATCCGTTTTTGGTTGAGTTTAAAGGGGAATCCTTCCCAAAAAAATCAAAAAAGGCTCCACCAGGCAACTGGGATTTCGTCCCTGGTAGAACAAAAGTAAACCACGTGATGTCCTGTTAGAACAAAAGTAAACCACGTGATATCCCAACAGCAACTCCCGGAATCCTCCCGGAACCCTTCCGGAACCCTGACCCGGAGCCGCTCTAAGCCACCCGAGAGCTTATTTGGGCAGAGACCCAAAGCTTCCAGCTGTTGGCAGAAACACACAAACAACAGTGGCAAGAAATCGGTTGACATGTGCTGTACGGAAAGTGTTGTCAAAGGAGCAACCCTATCTGGCTTTGAGTATAGTCGGTAAAGGCCAACCAGTCATAATCGTCCTTATCACTTCCCTTCCATTTGCTTCAGTCCCCTGGAAAAAAATACTTCCAGTAGTGATATATTCCCTTCCAAGGCAACGGAGGAAACAATGTAGTTATATATATATATAAATGTATAAGCAAAACGATTCTGAAACGCAAATGGCAGTCACATTCAGCAGGTTCTTCACATCCACCTGCATTTGTTCTACACTTCCGAAACCTCAAAAAGCTCTGGTTGACCCCGAGAACCTGCGTACGTTGCTCGTAGAGTTCGGCTTTGTTTGGCACGGTCCCACCTTTTTGTGGTTTATAAAGGGAAACCAGAAAGAAGGAGAGCCACCATTTGTGGGGTGCCCTTTTTAAAGACAGGTCAGACACACCCACGTGTTGCAAACGGGGAAGCTCTCCCAAAAACACACGCCATGGATGAGTCTGTCTTTCTCTGGTCGCCCTAGGGCTACAAACAAAAACCAAAAGGGACAACCCTTTTGTTCTGTAGTCTATTTGGACGTGGGTCAAAACCCTGTACCCCCAGTGAACATCCCAATCCCCACTAAAATAGGTTCTAAAGTAGATGGTGCACCTACCCCAAAATGGTACCATTGGTTTTGACAACCACTGCCATTTTAGTAGGGGAACCCTCCCAACCCCAAAAAAGGTCGGTGTTCATGGCACTACTGCACCTGGCCTCTTTCCTCCCGATGCCCGCGAGCGAAACTTTCTGGGCTTCGGGCCGTGGAGTCCGCTAGTCGCAAGGGCTTGCCCTTGGACATCTGCAGCAGGGACTCCTGGAATTCTCCGGGTACGGTTGCAACCATGCTTTCCATTTCCAGCCACTATGGCAGGCAGCCAAGGGAACCGCCTTGGGAAAAAACGCAGTTGCCTATTCTAGTTCCGGTGCTACCTTCCAACCATGCTTAGGGATCCGAATCTTTCCAAGCCTCCGGAAGCCCGGGGAAAACGGATCCAGTTTTTGGGATAGAGAACGATGGCTGAAAAGAAGGGGGGAATCAAGCCCTAGAGGAATTGGTTTGGGCTGGGCGTTTCTCAAATCGACTCACTTGGATGGTTTCCTTTGGGCTGCCCTTTGAATATGTTTTTCAGTTGGAACCCCCAACATGATGGGTTTTCCTGGTGGTGTCCCTTGGAACCATCCTCAAAAGGGGTTCCTGCACAAAGACGAGCCACTCAAGTATCACCCTTTGGGTGTGAAAAATTGAGGGCACCCTGTTTAGGAAACCAAAAGGACAAGTTCAATTTGCTGGGGAGCGTCAACAGGTTCTGCAACTGGGTGTGGATCTTCGCATTCGGAACCAAGGGATCCCAATCTTTCCAACCCAAAACGACCCAGAAAGGCGTGGGTAGACTGAAAATCCCCCCAGGGCTGCCAGGCAGTTCGCCACTACAGGCAACCCTTCGGATTTTTGACCTGGTTTTACATGGTCCCAACGGATCCCAGTCACCACTATTCTAAGGGTTGATTCCTTGTCCATTCTTTCCAACCATCGGTCTTTGCGAAAACCGGATCCGTTTCCATGGGTTTCCGGAGGTTTTCTAGATTAAGGATCCCTGGAAAGAATGGGGAAGGTAACACCAGAACTATAATAGGCAACCAGCCATGTTCCCTTTGTTTTTTCCCAAGGCGGTTCTCTTGGCTGCCTGCCATAGTGGCTTCCCTGGAAGCACTGGGGGGTCATGCTCCCTTACCTTGGTGATTGTGGCTTTCCTGAAAGCACCGGGGACAAGTTGCCGCACCAAATCCTGAGCTCAAGTCTACAAATGGAACCCTGGGGTGAGGGGGGCACAGACGGCACACCCCACCTGCACATGGAAACAAACGTTTCGCGAACCAGACAGGTGCTACCAAGGGACATCTTTTTGCGGTATATGTACGTTACTCTGAGGGAATATGGGGGGGAGTCTCTAATTTTTGCAAGGGTACTCTTTTTTGGGGTGGTCTTAACGTGAAACAGGGAAACCACAAGCAGTTTGGAGGTGCCCCTTGACGCACTTCTGGGGTTCTTTTTTGAGGTTACCCTTTTTGGGCTTGGTTTTTGGAGATGGATTCAAGGAACGCCCGGTTTGACACCTCCCGCCAAAATGGGTGTGGCTCAAGACTAAAGAGCTAGGGTTACGCAGGTTTCAGTCTTTGCTTCTCCATTTGCCAAGGTGCCAAATTTTGGTACAATTTTATTTGCGCCAGGCAAATGGCTCGGTCTCTCGGTCGGAAAAATGGGAAGCAGCCCTTCCATTTGCTTAAGTCTCCAGTAGTGAACTGGACTCCCTTTAAAACCCACCGGGGGATTTTTTTAAAAAATGCTCCTAAGCAAATGGAGCCGACGCCGAAGCCGGAGCGCTGCGTCCTTTCCGGTGAGGTCCAGCCAGAACTCCCGCAGCGACTTGTACCGCTCCGTGCCGAACTTCGCCACGTCGATGCCTCGCGATCCATCGGCGCCCGTCGGTACGTCGGTACATTGCTACGTCGGTACGTCGGTACCACGGGTGGCGGTGGCTTTGCGCGGGGCACCCAAAGAGTTGGAGTCAGCTTTTGCCTCCAATGGCTTGGTTGACGTTGGAAGGGGAGCAAAAATCTTCAAATTTTAGCAGTTAAGTGGTTGGAGTTCAACCACTAAACCACAATAAGCAAAAATGTAAAATGTGTCCCAACAACAACCATGAATTGGTGGTTTGGAGCCGAATCGTTGGTTTAGTGAAGGAAGGGTTTCCGATTCACCATCAAAAGCCAGGGCTTCAAATCCCCAAACTGCCAACCAAGGGTTACCTGAGTTGGAGCACTTCCTCACTTGCCAAACAAAAAGCTCGAGGGTCCCCGCAGTTGCCCAACACACAACCAGTGGAAACCATCATCAAGTAAAACCTGGCAAAGACTGAAAGGCATAGGTGTCCTTTTAGGGCAAATAGATGGCCCTGGTAGAAAATTAAACCACCAGGTAAACCAGGCATCGACACCCACCTATTTTTTCCGCCAAAAAGAAACCGAAAGTTCACGCCTATGCCGAAAGGTTACCTACTTTTTGTGCCGAAACGCCTGGAAGCACTGGGTCTCTGGGCCCAAAGGACCTGGAAAAAGGTGGACCTTTTGGGGCTACGAATGGACCACAGTGGGACAACCAAAAGGCCATCTCAGGTTGGTAACATTTGGACCTGAACCCCCCCCCCACCTGTTCTTTTTTTCTAAAAAGCAAAATGGGGAAACCAAAGGACTGAGCCTTTCTTGAGAAGACTTGCAAACCTCTCCCAGTGCTTCTAGGCGGTTCGCAATAAGCCAGGCGTTTCCCCATCGGGAGTAAGCCTGGTAAGGAACCTTGGTTACCCACTTTACCTGGAAGCACGTGTGCTATGCTGGAATAGGTTTCTTTTTTGCAGGTCCCAACAGAACAACAAGACGCCGTATCAAATCGAAATCCACATACCAACAAGCAGTGAAGGCTGACTCTCTCGTTGAGAGCCTGTTTTGGCTTGAACCATTTGCTGAGCCCCAGTCCGGGGTATGGGAGGTTCTGAAACGACTCGCAACGAAAAGACGCGCAAAATCGAGGTGAAACTTTTGCTATTCTGACTCAACAAGAGGCCCAAACTGGAAAACCACAGAGAGGGTTTGCATCCTATGACGTAGAATTGGACCCGAAAGGAATTCTCACAAATGGGACCAACATGTCCTTTGCTGCATGGCCCAAATCTGGGACATGTACACCAACATTACGACTTTCAGATTCTACGTATCATTTTTGGTCTGCCTCTAATCTAATGTTAGCACTTGATTAATAAAGGGCCCCCCCCCCCCTCCCCCCTGAACAATGGAGGCGCCAAAACAATGGGGGTGCACTTTTGGGACGTCCAAACAATGGAGGATTTTGGGGCCCAATTCTACTTTAGTATTGCAGCCACTTCCTTTTTGCAATTCTACTTTAGTATTGCAGCCACTTCCTTTAGTATTGCAACCACTTCTTTTTTGCAATTCTACTTTAGTATTGCAGCCACTTCCTTTTTGCAATTCTACTTTAGTATTGCAACCACTTCTTTTTTGCAATTCTACTTTAGTATTGCAGCCACTTCCTTTTTGCAATTCTACTTTAGTATTGCAGCCACTTCCTTTAGTATTGCAGCCACTTCTTTTTTGCAATTCTACTTTAGTATTGCAGCCACTTCCTTTTTGCAATTCTACTTTAGTATTGCAACCACTTCTTCCTGAGCAGACTTACCACTGGGGGTTTGGCTTTGGGTTCTGTGGTTGAGCAACCAATTGAAAGGGGAATGCTTTTAAGCAAGTGGGCCACCAATTGAAAGGGGATGCTTTTAAGCAAGTGGGCCACCAATTGAAAGGGGATGCTTTTAAGCAAGTGGGCCACCAATTGAAAGGGGAATGCTTTTGAGCAAAGCAAGTGATAGTTTATTTTCTGGGAGGGGGGGCTGGGGGCTTGCCACTATTGTGGTCCCCCCTAAAACAATCACATTATTGTGGTTCAGTGGGGTCTGTGAGGGGTACCCTTGTCCTGATTGTTTTTTGGCAATTTTTTAGCACGGTTTAATAAAGAGTTTGCAGTTTCAGGGCTGGGGATGGTTTTCAAATTTCAGAGTTTCAGCTGGCTTTGGGTTCTGTGGTTGGGCAACCAATTGAAAGGGGAATGCTTTTAAGCAAGTGGGCCACCAATTGAAAGGGGATGCTTTTAAGCAAGTGGGCCACCAATTGAAAGGGGAATGCTTTTGAGCAAAGCAAGTGATAGTTTATTTTCTGGGAGGGGGGGCTGGGGGCTTGCCACTATTGTGGTCCCCTAAAACAATCACATTATTGTGGTTCAGTGGGGTCTGTGAGGGGTACCCTTGTCCTGATTGTTTTTGGTCAATTTTTTAGCACGGTTTAATAAAGAGTTTGCAGTTTCAGGGCTGGGGATGGTTTTCAAATTTCAGAGTTTCAGCTGGCTTTGGGTTCTGTGGTGAATTTGTTTGCATTTGGTATGGGGTCAACATGGATTTTGGGTGATTGTTTGGGGGAGGGAGGATTTTTTTGGAATTTCCCCCCCGGGCAAAAAAACTTTCAATTATTCTGGTCCCCCTAAACAATGGGTGCGAACCAGAATAAGGAAAAAAACGTGACATTATTCAGCACCAGTTGATTAATCAAGTGTTAACATTACACCCGCTGTCCTCCAATTGCTTTTTCGTCCGGTGAAGAAGGTGAGAAAATAATGCCAGTAGTGCTAGATTCCCTGAGCCTGTACAACCAACGGGGGAACACAAACACAAAGCCCCGGTATCGCGACCTCCTTTTGAAGCCTCCTTTCGAACCCTCCCAAGCTGCCCCAAACCACCCCCAGAATCGATTTCTGGGCCTATCGACCCCATATCAGCTTCCCTCTTTATTTGGTGGTTTGGAGCCCGGTGGCTTGGTCAGCGGTTTCCCATTTTCCCTCTGCAAAAGCCAGGGACCCGCTATCCGAATCCAAACCAGCAATCCCAATCAACTAAGCTAGGTAGAGAGGTTCGAATAAGGCTACCCACTTTTCTCTGTAGTCTATTCTGGTTGGGGAACCCTCCCAACCAAAAAAGTTGGCAAAAAGTGGGTAAAAGGGCACCTAGCTGGGGGGTCTAAGGGTGACCTGATAGCTTTCCACGCGCCCGTCCATTCGGGTCCCGCACCGCAGCGCCGCAACAAGATCATCAGCGCCGTCTCGGTGGGCGGGAATTGCACCACGCCTTCCTTCCTGGGCAACGAGGAAGAGGTCCGACGTCTGACTGGGAAAACGCCCCATTTTGGGGGGTGATATGTGCATGCATGTGGCTTTTGGAGTTGCTATAGGTACCTCTCTTTTTTTGGGGGGGTGGGTTCTAAAGGGAAGCCAAAAGGACAACCACCCTTCTCTTTTGCGCGGGGGGGGGGTCCAAATCCCCACATCCCGACTCGCACCTTTGGGCCCCTGAAAGCGATCCGCTCGCTAAAAATCGGAGCCGCGTTGGGGGGTGGCGCCATTCTCCTCCTAAGAATGGGCTCCTCAGCTTCAAGCGGAGGAGCGTCCTCGGGTTTTCAAGTTGGAACCTTTGGACGGCACGTAGATGTTTGGCTTCAAGCGGAATAGGAGCGTCCTCGGGTTTTCAAGTTGAATTGAAGCTTTGGACGGCACGATGGGCTGTTTGGACGATGGGCGTGTGTCAAGTTTTGAAGGGACCCTGTCTGGGGTTTGCTTTTAGGGGAAATTCCTCGGGAAACCCCCTGTTTTTGTGGTTCCGTTTCCCCGTCTGAAGAGAGACTCATATGAGCCATGGTCAGAAGATGCAGCTCCCCCTATGAACCATGGCTAAAATTAGAGAGCCCCCTGTGTTTTTTGGTTGGAAATCTAGTGAGTCCCTTGTGTCCTTCCCACTTGAAATAGACGACCTAGAAATTGCCAAGTTGCTGCTTTCTTCCCCAAGAAAATTACCCCAACACTCACAGTTGCTGGGGAAAAAATCGACCGGCGATCCAGGTACTGAATATTCGCATAGAAGCCTTTACATTGGTTGTCTCAAATCCAAAATCGGGTCTTACTGACCCCCCACTGCGTCCCAGGCAAGCCACTATAGGTAACCAGCCATGTTCCTTTTGATTCTTTAATGGGTGGCAAGCCCCTTGGTTTCCTACAAAATAGGTAAACGGAATCACTGACCCCGAGCATGGATGGTTGCGAAATCCATTTCGCACCACCTACAAAACCCTAGTTTCCGATGATTCCCCTGTAAATTCCAGACGAACCATGGTTTCAACCGCAGGCTTCTGTCCATCCACAGCCCCTCCCATCGGAAAGCTCCGCTTTCAAAGGCGCTGGAACGCATAGCGCGCCCAGCGCTCATCCGCGGTGGCCTGGGGAGGCTTTCCGACGGCTTGCCAACCCTTCCTCCAGGTCCAGCAACGGTTGTTGCAATAAGGTTACCCACTTTTTGTCCGTCGATTTTAGCCACGGGGAACCCTCCCAACCCAAAAAGGGGTTAAAAAGGGCACCTAGCTGGGGACCGAGGCTCCCTTTCTAGTCAGGGCAAATGGATAATTTCTCCGCATACCTTTTGCTATGGCAGTGTTTAGGGAAAGCCTGGCTTTCCATGGCCAAAGCATCCCTTTTGAGCTAGGGGCTAGCATGATACCCGAAAACCCGTTGGCATTTGAAGGTACTTGAAGAGCTGGTTCGCAGCGAAACCAGTGACCATAGTTGGCAAGGGAAACCATGGAGAGTAAAACCTAGATGTGAAAATTCCGAAGGGAATGCTTACTATGGTGGCTTGTCCACCAAGTTGTCTGCGCTAAGGGTTGTCTTGAAGAAAGGGAGAACCCCAAAACACGTGCACAAACAGACATGCAGTACAGTCTCATTTGAAGAACGGCTCTGAAGGAACCTACTGATCCAAGGGCGCCGGACACTTCTTTCTGGGAGGGGATCTGGGGGACAAACCATGTCCTTTGGTTTTTGTAACGTGTGTTTGATGTTTTCGCTATTCCGTACTGATGTTGCATCCATGTAGGTGGTTTTCTCAGGGCCCTAAGCGACAAGAGGAAGGGTCCCTTTTTGGTTCAGGCTTTAACAGGAAACCTACACGAAACCAAGCGGCTGAAGCACTTCCATAGCTCGAGCTTACCACACGGTTACCAAGGTCAAATCGACATGCAGGGTGGGAAGCCACTACAAAGGAAACCCTTTTGCAACCTGTGACACAACATACGATACCGCAAGGCCTTTCAGTCCAACTCAAAAGAGCTGTACGCACAAGGCGTGCTAACAAGAAGCCTTTTTACCAGTCACGATTCTCCTTAAAAAGCGCCGAAGAAATCCTAGCTGAAGGGCTGGCCATATCTTCGAATTAACAACCAACAGACACGAACATGATGAAACCATCTGCCAACAAAAGAAAAGACAACTGTCCGTGGCATCCTGAACCGGGAACCGGGGGAACCCTCCTACTCTCCTGAAACATTAGAACCCCCCAAACCACCACCCCCAAAAGCTGCTCCGAACCACTCCAGCCTAGCACTTTGGTGGGCAGAGACACCGAAGTGTTCATTGCTCTTAGGGAAAACCACTCCAGCCTAGCTGGGCAGAGACACCGAAGTTGTCATGCTCTTAGGGAAACAGATGTCAGATGTTCGCAAAGGCAACAAACACTCAGATCCGGGACGTTGGCTCAATGGGTCAGGGGGATTCAGTGGGGGGATTCCGCCAGCATTGAGTCGCAGACCATCTCAAGACGACTAAACCGGGTGCCTTTCTTAAGGTCGGGCCACAAAAAAGGTAACGGTATCCTTTGGGTTTCTCGGAACAAAAAATGGCACATCAAAGGAGGGAAATCCAACTCCACAAAAGGAACCACAAGACTGGGTTGCTCCCTCCCCTCCCGAGTCTGACCGAAAGGTCGAGTTTTGAGCCTTAGGTCCGGAACCCGGAACCCCGAAAAGCTCCGAACTTGTTTGCAAAGGGTCTAGGGCCACCAGGTCACACGAGTCACACCAGCCACACCCGCCAACAATCTTCTTTTCAGCTTGCCTCTGGCAAGCCTACCCTGGTACAGCCTCAGCCCAAAGTGGATTGAACTTCCTAGGGGAAAAGGAGGGAAACCCATTGCACAGGTTGAAAATGACAAGCTTCGGCAGTGCCTAGAGATTTGATTCTCTCAGGGTGACTTTGAACAGGAGAAAGCCAGTTTGTGGCAGTCAGATCCCCTGTCTGAAAGAAGGTTCAGACCCAAGTCTCTAGCCTTCCCCAGAGGAAAAAAACTGCCGCTGTGGAGATTGCGCGGGCTTTTAGCAGGGAATGAGGAAAGACTCCTTTTTCCCATCCCCTTTTTTCCCGTCCCCTCCTGCCTGTACAAGAAGGTGGCTTATTCTTGTCGATGCTTGGTCCCCTTATTGTTCCCTTTTGGGGCATCCATACTGTGGATGGGCGAAATCAAGCACCACCTAAAACAACAAAACCTGGAATGATGATTCCGGCTTCGACCAGGGTTTCATTTCGTGATGTGGTCTCGGAATTCGTCCATCCACAGTAGGGGTGTTTATCAATCAACTGCACAGGGAAAAAAGAAAAAAGAAAAAAAAACGATTCATCAACCACCAGGACCAAGACCACAACAGCTCTCAAATGGTTCGTTGCCCGGCATCGGGCTGTTTTGCCGGGCCATTGCTGTGGAGCCTGGTGCAGGAAGTTCTGGAGGAAATTGCTTCATGTGACAATCACCAACACAACCAGGGATGTTGTTTATTTCCTGCCCCAAAAAAGCCGTAGCTGCCTCTTGGCAGCTGTTTAGCCATTGCTGCCCCATGATCTCCACATGCCGAGACTTACAAAAGTGGTCAATTAAAAGTCAGGAGAATGCGTCCATCTGCTGTGGAGTGCCTTATTAAAACCCCCGAAAAAAATGGGAGTCCATCCACCGTGCTGCTTTTTATCGCGCTGTTTTTTGTTTTGTTTTTCTTCTTTTTTGGTGTGTGTGTGTGTGTGTGTTTGTTTGTTAAAAAAAAAAAAAAAAACGCTGGCCTCTCCCAGGTTCACGAAGCGCTGGAGCTTCTGAGCCTCGAAGAAGGGCACCCAGCGCCTCGCGGCAAGGCAAACGCTTTGGACGCGAGTGGCTCGCGTGTTGTTTGTTTTTTGGACCCAGAAGTTGATGCGGCCCACAAAAACCACTTCTGTTTTCTTCTTCGACCATCCAAAACGGCGGGGTTCTTCTTTTTTCAGCACGAGCCAACCAGAGGTTTGTGGAGGGGGAAAAAGGACACCAACATGCTTGGCATTTTGGACCATGGGGGAATGGGTGAGTCCTGTGAAAACTGGGTTTATGCTGGGGTCATGAGTTTGACGGTTTCTGGGGTTTATCAAAGTGAGAAATGGGTGATCAAAGTCAGTAGTTAACCTACTCCTGAAAGGTCACAACCACACTGTGGATGAACAAAATCCAGTAGCCAGTTACCAGGTGGGATGGATATGAAAACCGGGGGGGGGGGGGGGTCGGGGGGAAAAAGAAACACCTGCCAAGTGGCAGTTTCATGGCGCAAAAGGTCCAATCTTTGGTGGTTGATTGCTTGCAAAAAAATCGTTGTTTCCAAAAGGTATGATGTTAACCTCGGAATGCGGAGGACCGTACTAATCCTGGGTAATCCCCCTTTCAGTCTATTTGGGGGGTCCTCTGAGAAGGGTCCTCCGCATTCATCCGAAGTTGGCATGAGGCGGTCCAGGTCACACCAATTATGAAATCCCTGCGGGGGGTGGGTACAAGGGGTGGGTGGGGTAGTTGACGGCCCGTTTCGGGTCCTTAGGCTTCCCTAGGGTTCGTTGTTCCTTAGCGAGCCTTAGGGATTCCCAAAGCCAATGACCGAATCGCCATGCACGTTGTCAGCTTCCCCTCAATGCTGCTGATTGGTGGTCTGGAGGTTCAATAAGGGGCACCTTTTTCGACTTGGCTTCAAAAGGAGGGGTTCAAATTCACAAAGCACACCAAACGACCAATCATGGGGGCTGGGGGGGAGGGAGGGGAGGGGGGAGGGAGCCCAAATAAGCCCCAAATAAGCCCTTAAGGCGGCTCCGCCCCCCCAGCCCCCATGAACCAACTCAGGGGTACCTGACGCTAAAGGGACGCGTTTTTTTTTCCCGGTGCCGAGGCTTCGGCCAAAAGATCTTCTTGCCAGTGCCGTTCCTGCCGAGCGCCGGTTTGGAGCTGTCTGGTGCTTCTTGAGTGGCTATCTGAAAGGGAAACCAAGAAGAAAAACCGCCAGCTTTGGAGGGCTCCCTCCAAACAAAAACCGCCAAATCCATATAGCTTCAACACTACGTAGTGCAACAATGAATCCTTGAAATGCAGGTGGAGAAAATTCCAACCATAAATTCCAACCATAAAATGCAACAAAAACGCCAATATCATAAATTCCAACCAGCACGGGGTTTCAGGCGGGGAGGTGTCGTGGCTTTCCATTGGGGGTGTGCACAGGGGCCATGACCTGGAAGACACAATCTTTCATGGACCTCCAAAGGGGGGGAGAGGTTCTTGGTGCGGGCCATCCCTGGTTAAGCTCAATAAGCTTAGGATAAACACCTAATAATGCTGTAGGGAACAGGTGAACCCCAAACCCCCCCCAGGCCTTAGCGATTTCTCCATGAATTGTGAAGAATTCAATAAATCGACAGGACCAACGCCATTTCACAGAGTCACCGGTTCCGCGCCACAGAGAAGCAACAGAACCCCCAGTATTTGATGTTCTGGGCGGCGAATAGGTGGCATGTCAACCTCGTGAACCCTTTCCTGGGCTGTGGGGAATGGAATCCACTTCTGTGATACAACAGAAAGGGCTTCCCAAAGACTACTTTCTTCATCTCACTTGCCCAAAGGACCCAGAAATAAAAGGTTAACCTTTTGGAGTCATGACTAAAAATGGACCAAAACTGGAAAACCAAAAGGTTAAAAGGTCGGCTTTGGGCAACTGAGTCATATCAAGGGGATTCCCGAAGGTATCACAGTGGGGAGAAACGTGATCCCGCAACCCTGCTTTCCTGAGTTGGGAGAGCGCACCAGGGTGGAACACCATTCTACTGTTACTTCACACGCATCTGCAAGCCTGCCCAGCCATCAACTAAAACACTGCACAGTTTAAATAAGGTTCAACAAGATAGGCGTCAGTAGCCCTACCAACCACCATCGCCCCCAGCCCCCGCCCCCCAAAGACCCCAAGGGTAAGGGGATCAACAATAAGGGTTGGGCGAGTCAAGCCCCTGTTCAAGCACAATCGGTTGAACAACCTTCAGACTGCTTTTTTTCTATGTCCTCTAGTAGAGAGGATAGAATAAGGGTACCGTTTCTTTTTTCTGTAGTCTAGTTTAGACACGGGGAACCCTCCCAACCAAAGAAGGGGTGAGAAAGGGCCCCTAGCTGGGGGACCTAGAAAACCGCCAAGCCCTCCTTCGTTTCCCTGGGTTTTTGATGGTTTCCTGAAAAGAAGGATCCTGGAAAGAATGGGGAAGGTAACCTTCAAACTCCTTTGCCTTCTCTTTGGGCCCGGCTCTTGGGGTGTGGTTGAGACACAGATTTGGCAAGCCCTGGTTCATCCGCGTCGTAAGCCAAGGAATCCAAGGCCGCGGAACCTCCTGAAACCTTGGCGCACCGTTTGGGATACACAGACAATCAGTGGTTCGTTTCGTCTACCCTAAAGTAAAAATCCGGTTTTGGGCAAGGCCTCCGTTTCAGGTCCCTAAAGCGATTGATTCCTTATATGCAAAAGCCCCCTCAAGCAAAGGTTCTTCGATTTTTCGTAGGCTTCATGGAAAAGCCATGCGACACGCCAGGGACCAGCCATGTTGTTTGGTCCCCGAAGTGACCATCGATGTTCTGAACAGGGCCGGAAGCTAAATATCAATCCACTTTACTCAGCCTCTTACTTACGGGGTGCTTTGGTGGAAACCCGTGCTTCCAGCGAATTAGCATTCTGAACGAGGGGAAACCATCAGGCCATGGTTCTTGTGACTCGGGTGGAAACCATATGCATGTGTTTAAAAAAAAAAAAAAAAAAAAAAAACTCGGGACCCTCTGGACATCATTTAGGTGGGGGTTTTGTGTCCACCGCTTTCCCGGGGTTCCTGATCTTAAATGCATGGCCATATGAGCCAATAACTCCGGAGGTCAACAGGAATCATAGTTCCCTATCAGCTGGATGGCCGGTTCGCCTGTTCATCTTGAGTGGATTGGCAAGCGAAAATCCAAACTTTGTGTTTACCACGTCCAAACCCAAAAAGTGACTGAAATCCAGGAACTCAGAGAGTGAGCCATTGCACGATAGGGGGAACCAGCCTCTAGTCGCGGTTTATTTTTTTTTGGTTTCCCTTCAACAAACAACACCCGTATCCAGACTTTGACCAAAACGCCGCCGTCCTGTGGGTGACAAAGTGGCAGCCGAAGGGCAGGCCCTCGCAGGTGTAGGGTGGGTTGGGTAGCAAGGAAACAGGCCCCGATACCTCCATGTTGTTTAAGCCCCCCATAACACTCCCAAATATATATATATATATTTATAAGTCCATTAGTGATAGATCCCCTGTGAAACCAACAGAGTAAAATAACCATCTCAAGCAAATGGACGTATGTGGATGTTTGAGGGCCCTTTTCTGGCTGTCTTAAAGGTAAACCAAGAGGAAAACGTCACCGTTGCCCAAGAAGCAACGCCGGTTCCTGAATGCATGTCCCCCCCTCCCGGATCATGGTTTCTCATCTACCCTCCGCAAGAACCAAAGGTTCAAATCCCCAAACCACAAATCCAAACCACCAACTTAGTGGTACCTGATAGACCCTCTGCTGCAGCAACATTGCTAAAGCAATTTTGACTTGTCCGAAATGCCCTCAAACCAGGTGTTTGGAGAGGGCCTGTTCTCCAACAAAAACTATTTTCAATCTCCATTTCATCTTGATTTATGCCACCCCGCCCCCCAATCAAAGACTGTCTTGGGGTGTAAAGAACCGACCTGAAAAGGGTAGCCTGAACAATGCCGGCCCACTGCCAGAAGGAATGCACCTTGAGCAAAATTGAAGACAAAAACAACTTCAGCAGTGCGGCTTACATGTTTCACTATTCTTGAAAGGAGCACAATTTGTCACCAAGAACCGACTTTCCGAGTCTTCAAGCCCGCCTTTGGCTCGATTCCAGCGTTTCTGCCCAGGGTTGCGCACTCGTTCTCCGGAACTTCGCGTTTGCGCACATGGCTTCTCTAAACCGGGTATACAGGTTCCATGCTGGAGCTAATCCAGCTCCTCGCGTCCTCCTGATGCTGATCATGTCCACCCTCCCAAAATGGATTTCGGTGTTCCTTCTGTGTTCCCGTTAAACCCTGCCCAAGAAGGCTTGCCAACTCAAAAAACAAAAACAAGGGTGCCCTTTTTCGGTCTTGAAAGCACAACGAAGGGAACACCCACCCGTCGCAGCCCAGAGAGTCACCCAAAACTTCGCTCGGCGATTTTTTTCGGTGTCGCATTTTTCAGTGTACCCCCCTCTTTCCCCCCTTTTTTCAAGGGAAAACCCAAAAGGAAGACCGAACGCCATTTTGGGTACCCCCCCCCTTCCTTTTCTCCACGCCTTCTTTTAAGGGGAGCCCAAAAAAGGGGACTGAGAACATGACTCCCAACCATGCTTTCAAGGACACCTATTGGGGAATGACCGGACTCAAAATCCCAAGACTTCGACGGGGCCATTCGACGGGGCCGGCCACTGGGCCCCCGGGCCGAGGAGCTGCTGGCGCTCAGGGTCTCGCCTTCGGGGAAGGTGAGGCCTCACGGCTCGAAGCCGCTGAAGGCGAAGGCGGGGAGAGGAAGTTTCTTTCATTTGCAGTGGACGGCTTTCATTTGCAGTAGACCCCCCTGGAAAAAATGAGAAAATATGTCCAGTAGTCAGTAGCTTCTCTTAAAAGCAGGGACCATATTCTTAGAATCTCTTTTTAAAAGAGCGTGGAGTTTGCAGCGGCCAGAAACGCGTGGAATCACCCCACCCCACCACATGCAGTAGATTCTCTTAAAAGCAACAGGGGAAAATACACCATATTCTTAAGCAAATGGAAGCATTTGGGACGCGCCGCGCTTTTCTTTGTGGATGTGTTGGTTTGGACATCTGTGATGGTGTTGTTTCTATTCCTTTTGTTTTACCGTTTTTTTGGCTTTTCCTTGGTTTGTTTTGTCCTCAGTTGGTCTTTCCCTTTGGATGGTTTTCCTGGCCCAGTTCCAGTTGCCACTATATAGGAAGCAGGGGAAACCATCCACGGTTTCACCTAGACATACCTGCTTCCCTACTGTAGTGCCAGCTGATTTCACTGGAACGAACATCATCTACCAGGCGAGGGCAAACCCCGGCCGCAAGCCCTTCAAGGGAACACCAAGAGGTTGTTCATGCTGGCTTTGACTGTAGGTCCTCCAGTGGAGAGCTTAGAATAAGGGTACCGTTTCTTTTCTCTGTGGTCTATTTTAGTAGGGGAACCCTGCTCCAAAAAGGGTAAAAGGGCACTAGGACCTAGGACTTCTGCGCTGTCTTAAGAATACCCCCTCCTCTTGGGGCAGGTGATCAAAGGACACCAACAGGAAACTGTATGTGTATATGCACATGCATATGGTCATGTGGTTATGTACATATGTAGATACGAAGAAATGCATATGTCTATGTATGTGATATATATATATATATATATGTGTAATATATATATATATATGTATATATATATATATATGTATATATATCTATATGATACCCCCCCTCCCAAGCCCATGCCCCAAAATAATTTGACTCTATATATATTTGCAGTACTTTTTGGCGATTTCCACCCCCCACTGCAATGTTAAGCATTTAACTATGCCCGTATCTGCTGACATTTGTCTGCGACTGCATCTCGCAACCCGGCAAGAACCGTCTGATGACAGAGTAAAAAGCTGAGTGGAGATCTGCAGAGAGGATCGACATCCGCGGGCCCCTTCAGCCGCTTCACTATATGCCAGAAGGCGCCGCCGCAAGACACGATGCCCCATGTCAACTCCCTTTTCCGCTACCTCCAAACTTCCACTGCAAGTTGTTTGACCTTCCCACTGCGCAAGCTCTTACTGAATGCACCCATGGCGAATCTTGGCTTTGCATACCCGCATAAACGTTGGCTTTGTTCATACCCCTCTCCCCAAAACAAATGTATGTATTTACACACCTTCAAGTGGGGTGGGTATGAACAAGGGGCCCCAACTGGCAAAAGGGGTGGCCCCCTTCTGGAGTCAGACGCGCCGCCACGCCATAGCCCCTTGAGCATTCCCCAACCCAACTCTATAGCAAGGCATTTCTCCCGCAACTTTTTCTTGTTCTTCCACTTGGAGCTGAGGAAAATGTATGACAAAGGGTTCCTTTTGGAGGGTACGGGCCCTGGGCCCTCGAGTGGGTGGGATGGTGGGATGGAACACCCAGAAAAGTAGCTCCCACGAGCTTGGCCCACAGGGCAAGACGGAGAATCTGATATGTTCAGATTCTGTTTCGTGGTTGCCCGAAAACTTGGTTGCGAAATCTGCTCCCCTGCCAAAAGTTTAACTTTTGTGGTGTAATACGGAAAACCCATTACAGTCGTTGGCAAAAAGCAAAGAAAATATACAATAGCGCTGGAGGAGACCCCATTTTGCTCGGCTGCTCCACCCCCCCGAGCAAACGGATGGACCTTGTGCAGGTTGGCTGGAAATCCATTTGTTTTCGAAAGGTCTAAGGGGCCATCCGGTCACACCAACTCCCTTCCTGAGTGGATGTGCCAACAAGTCCAAACTGGTTCTTTGCCAATAAAATCGGCTTCTCTAAAAGTATAAAGAGGAAGAGCGCCAAGAGGCAACGACCTTCATCACGGGCCTCGGCTAGCCCTTGTCGCTATCGATGATGGACCAACCCTCAATCACCTCCATTTGCTCAGGTCCTCTCTTTGAAACCCACAGGGCGAAGAACCAAAACATGGCAGCATGTTGGCTTCCTCTAAAGTTGCGTGTCCGAACCCCGCGAAAAGTGGGGCGAGCCTCATGAAAAAAACAGGCCCTCTTTGGAGGGGGCTCGTTGAAAGGGAAACAAAAGGACAACTACCATGTTGGGGGGTCCCTCAAAACAGGCATAGCCCTGTGGATGCTTGGTCTTTGGTGTGACCGGATGGCCCCGAGCTTTGCAACACAACTGGGTAGATACTAATATACCAGTTTTGCAAAACTACGACACAAAATTGGGACCCTTTTTTGTTTGGGGGGGGTGGGGAACCCCCTTTTTGGCTAGTTTTAACGGGATTTGTTTTTTTGGAGGGGGGGTCACCTCAAAACCAAGAGTAACACCTCAATCTTCTATTCTTTTTGTTTTTTTTGGGGGGGGTGAGGTACCTCAAAAAAAGAAAAGAAGACAGGTTCCAGTTCAAGCTCTCCAAAGCTGGGTCTTCCCCCAGCCCCATGGATTTCCCCCCGAGCCAACCCGACCGATCCGAAACCGTCGACCCGTCGGGGCCCCAGGCCGTTGGACTCCAAGACGCTCAGCTGCTCCGGATCCACCTCCCAGCCTCCGGTCTTTCGACGTCGCGACGATTTTCGCTTCCGATCGGATCGATTTTTCGATGTTTCGCTCTTCGTAGAAGTCGCGCGAGGCTTGGTCGACGTTGGGTGTGGGGAGCATTTGTGTGTTTTGTTTTTTTTCTTCAAATCTTAGCAGTTCAGTGGATTTGGATTTCAACCACTAAACCACGATAAGCAAAAATGAAAAATGTGTCCCATGGAGAGATCGGCCTGGGAAATGAGACATGGAACCCAGGCCTTGGTGCCCTTAAAGGAAACCACCAGTTGGAATGAACCCAACCTTTGGTCTCCTTAAAGGGATGGATTTTCCAGGGGTGGTGATGTTTGGTCAACCTTTGGTCCCCTTAAAGGAAACCACCCGTTGGATTCGGTGACTCCTGTTGGATGGTCGTTCCATTTCAAATGGCTCGGTGGACCATCCAAAATCAGCCATCCAGGCGGCTTCCTTTCAGAGGACCATTCCGTTCATTCCAATTCAGATTCCCTGACCAGACATGGCTCATGGCTCCCCAAGCTTTGGCTTTCTTCAAGGGAGGGTTTGCGCTTTTTCTCGGGGTCATTCCAGTTCTCAGATTCCCCTGCGTCCCTAGGGACTCAGGGAATCTCGGTTCTTCCTGAGTGGTTGGCCAAACCAAATCCGTTGGCCCCGCAAAAAGGTGCGAGCCTTTTGGCGTACTTACAAAGGTCGAGGCCAAGAGGTTTCAAGTTGAACGTGGTTGAAGGAAAAAGTGCCCCTTAAACTCAGTTGGCTGTGGCTCAAAAAACCGGTAAAATGGAACCCTGGTATGTGGAAACATGGACCAAGACCTGCGTAACCCCTCTTTAAGTTTGAGCCACACCCAGTTGCCCAAAGGACCCACCAATAGAAGGTGAACCCTTTGGGCTTAAGAATGAACCCAGGCTTTGGTCAGGAAACTAGGCACCAACTGCCGCGGAGTATATGGGGTCGACGGGTCGACCGGGTTTTGGGCATTAAACGTTTTGGGGGGATTCCCGCATGAGGGAAACAGGGGATGGGTTTGCTTGGAGTTCCTAGGGATGTGGGAGTAAACCGAGTCGGGTCCCGTTAAAGGAAACCGCCAGTTGGATGGTTTTTCTAGGGGTCCGTTTTGGGATTCCCAGGAAACCGCCTGGATGGTTGTTCTTGCTGGTGCGATAGGCAGGGAATGAGAAATGGAATGAATCCTATAAACCATCCCACTGGTGGTTTCCTTTAAGGGAATCCCCGGTTCATTCCCTCATTACCTACCTATCACACCCACAAGTTTCCCAGGGGTCGGTCCACTTCTCATTCCCTGCCTGGGTTGAGTCCACTAAACATCAGGTCCATGTCTTGCCCATTTTGACACATACCCAGTCCTCTTGCTTTAATGGGGAGGACCACCAACATGGAAAATCGTGGAGGACCACCCCCTCCCCCCCCCCAAACAAAATATATACGGAAAATCGGACTCCACAAAAAAATAATAATAATTAAATAAAGATAAAACATGGAAAACCCACCCCTCCCCGCCCCCCCCCCCCGAGAAAAAAAAAACAAAAACAGTCCTCTTGCTTTAATGGGGAGGCCCCCCCCAAAAAAAGAAGAAGAAAAAAAACGGAAAATCGTGCGGGAATGCCCTGATGGATCGAAGGGGCACTCCTGAAATTGGTGCGGATTGGCTTGGGATTTGAAGGCGCCCCCCGGGCTTGGAGCCGGAGAAACAGCGTTTCACTTCTTGCGGTTCACCCCATGTCAAAACGCCACCGCCAAACAAACCAACAGGCTACCTGACACCAAAACAAACTCAGAACCCAAAGACTAAAAACCAAACAATGGTACCAAGAAACGTGATTTAAGTCACCTTGCCCAACATAGGCAAGCAACACTCATTTGAGTGACTTGCTTGACGTCCAAGGGGGCGTGCTGGCTTTCGTGGCTTTGTATGCCCAAGGTGGCTGGCTCTCTTCTCGGACTTTTGACTCCAATTGAAGATTTTGTTAGGGAGCCTTGGTCAATCCTCAATACGCAGTGGATCCCTGCTATGTTTAGAGTATGTTTAAAGACATTGCCCTTTCGGTTTTTCAAGGGTTGAAGTAGCCTAACACCTTCGACGCCAAAATCCCCATATCTACTCGGGTGCTTTCTGCTGCATTGCTAAACGTTCAACCTTTTAGTGGCTTAATACGGAAAACCCATTAGTTGGCACAAAGTTAAGGTCCCAACATCCCTTGGGCAAAATGCACCAAAGAAAATATAGTGTTGGAGGAGACCGTTTTTTTGCTCGGCTGCTCCACCCCCCGGAGCAACCGCTTGGACCTTGTGCAGGTTGGCTGGAAATCCATTTCAAAAGGTCTAAGGGGCCATCCTGTCACACCAACTCCCTTCCTGAGTGGATTTGACAAGTCTATATTTGTTCCTTGCCAATCAAATCGGCTTCTCCAAAAGTGTAAAGTCCAGGTTTCCCACCAAGAAGTGTGAAGTCTTCTGGCGCCCTGCTTGGGGCCTTAATGGAAACCCAATCTTCAACGGGTAAGCCCCTCCGCTTGAGCATTGCCCAAGACTCGGCGGCCTCTCGCTCTAGGTATTTTTTCTCCCCCCCCCCCCCCCGCACGAAGCAAGGTAGAAACCGCAGAGATCTCAACTTGCACTCCGATCTGTGGAAGATCTCATTGAATCAAAACAGGCCTTGGATTGAATCAAACACCAACCCCGCAATGCTGCACGTTGCTCAGATACCGTCGAAAGTAGATGGCACCCATTCCCCCAGTGAGCCTTTTTTGTTGCCTACCGACGTAGATCGGAAGTGATGCCATCTACTCTTGGGGTAAATATTTCGGGACCCCAAGGTGTTTTACCCGAAGCCCGACAATCTGTACCCCAAAAGATGTCATCCCCTAGGCGTGTTCTCCCCTAAGCCTGAATTTCACTCTGTTACCCGAAGCCTCTTGTCCTTTTGGGCCTATCCCAAAGAAACGGTCCTTCCGTGATGCTGATGCGAGCCTGACTTCTGAAGAGGCTCCCCATGAGGCACAATATGGGCGTGTCAATCCAGAAACGGGACCCTTCAAATGGCCGGTGTCCTTTTCTCGGTTGCGAAATCTGCTCCCCTGCGAAAAGTTTATAACTTTTAGTGGTTTTGTCAGGGCACCGAAAAGGGTACCAACTCAAAAAAGAAGCCACCCCCATAGAATAATAACATGAAAGCGAATCATGTGACAGCCTCCAGCGGAACATAGGGTGCAAGGCATCATTCAAAACTCTGGGCTTCGGTGCACACCATGTGAGTGCGGTACACGGAGGGCATGCCCGGGTACCTGGCATCCATTTGGCCGAATCCCCGGATTGGGCTGAAGCCACGTCAAGCTCAAGAAACGTTCAAAAAGCAGAATCCTTCGCAAAACAATGCTTGGTTGAGGTTGGAAGGGGAGCAACAATTTAAATTCTAGCAGTTAAGTGGGGATTCCCCACTAAACCACAATAAGCAACAATGCAAAATGTTTCCCAACAACAACCATGAATGGCCCTCCAAGAGATGATATTCCTGGATGGCATTCTCGAGTATTGGACAAATCATACAGGTCTTTCTCACAAATAGAGTCTGGCGGGTTTCCCTCTGGTGTTCGCCAGATAGAAACAGGCCAACATCTGCTGCCATATGTGAAGGTACCCCCCCCTTCCTTGGCTTTTTCCAATAGAAAGCAATGGAAACCAACCGGAAACCAAAAGGAAACAAAGGGAAACCAAACAGACACCAAAAGGAAACCAACCATTTTTTGGAGTTCCATATTTTCAGACAAGCCTTTTCCAAACCGTAAAAGGACCCAAGTTCTCACGCCGCCTGCATGGAAGGGTTTGGATATGAGTCTGTTTTGTTTCTTGTTAAAACTCGGTATCTTTTTAAGGGGATGTTAATAGTTAACAGGGGAATCTTTTTGCTACCTTTTGTGGAAAAATGATCGACCGCCTTGTAGTGAAGGATTCCTTTTTGAGGGGGTCGCCAAAAGGTGGCAAAAAGACCCCCCTGAATGTTAAAGGAAAGCCCGGGAAGCCCTAACCCATATGTCGGGTGCAAAAAACACTTGTAACTCCGGATCGCGCACAAAGGCCTTCTATGAATCTATCGCTTTGTCTCAAAATAGGGGGACCCCAAAAAAAATGTGGCTTACTTTTGGCTTCCCTGTAAACCAGCCCCTGAAAGGGTAACTCAAAACATTGACACATCCTTATATGCGGACCACCACTGTGAACTACACCAGTTTTGCTTTGACACTGGGGTGCGCAGGGCCTTCAAGCGCGGGGCCAGGAAGCATTGTTTATAGGTCATCTAGATGCAAACAAACAAACAAACAAACAAATAAACAAATAAACAACAAACACACAAATAAACCAATAAACAGGAAAGATCGAGGCTTTGCCGTTAGGATTAAGGCAGAATCCGGCTTTCACAATGAATGTCCGTGGACTTTCAGAGTCTTCCAGGATGGGACTTGCCCCGAAAAGAAGACACCCGGCAGAACAAGCTCAATACGCCGCAGCAAGAACCGACAAGTTGCCAACGCAGACCTGAGGCAGGGGTTGTATAACGCGCTTGTTTGAAGGAACACCAAAGGAAAACCCCAGAATTTTGAAAGGGTCTCTTTAACAAAAACGACAGACTCACACGGGTGGTTTCCAGAGGAGTACAAAGCCCCGAGGCTTTGCTCGAGCTTCCAAAGCGAGGCGGCAGCGCGAAGGCGACATCGTGGTCTCTGTGAGGACCTGAGCGCCGTCTCAGAATCCCTCGGTTTTTGGTTGGAGCCGCGGCCGGGTGGAGTTTCTGGTGGTTGCAAAACGCCTCCAGAGGTTCCTTTAAATTTGAAACCAAATGGGGAAGGTCGCCCGAAGGTGCAACCCGCCGAGCCAAACCACCAACTCTTGGTTGACGTTGGAAGGGGAGCAAAAACTCAAATTTTAGCAGTTAAGTGGGGATTTCAACCACTAAACCACAATAAGCAAACATGTAAAATGTGTCCCAACAACAACCACCAACTAGGAGTAAGGTGGCCCACAAAGAAACACGGGGTCCACTTCAGGGCCAGGTCTTTTGGCTAAGTATTCCGGGATAAGAGAGTCCCCGGATTGGTGGTTGCAACCCCTTCTGGAAAGCAAGTCAGTTCCTTTACCCCTGTGCATGATTATCAGTATCCCAGTGCTTCCAGGCAAGCCACTACAGTAGGCAACCAGTGAAAACCATCATCATCTGAAACATTGAGGTAAAATAGGGGGAGGGAGAAAGAGAGAGAGAGAGAGAGAGAGAGAGAGAGAGAGAGAGAGCAGGGATCCTTACATTGTACACCTGAACATTGCCTTGTAAATTCTATTTTGGTGGAAAAAGCTATGTTTCAAATGGGCGAAATGTCTCTTTTAAGGAGCCCTGGAGAGAGAGAGAGAGAGAGAGAGAGAGAGAGATCTAGGTAAACTACCGAAGAGTTGCCTACTGCGGTCGCCTCGTCCTCTGCTTGCTCGTGTGAGGTACAATTGAACGTATACGGCCAAGAAAGTAAGTTGTTGGTAACCTAGATTATAACCCACTTGCAAGTCCCCCTAAGTGGGGTTGATCTTGTTGTTGGTGGCTAAAGGGACCCCCCAGAAACGACAAAACTGGCACTCGGTGTCTGGGAGTTTATTCACTTGAGCATACTTGTGAGGAACAACCTGGGGCGATGGTTTTCTGGGAGGTCCATTGTTTAGATGCCTGTCATTTGCTTGCAGTGCGCGCTGTGCGGCCTTCTTTTCCCACGCCAACTGCGACTGCGATCTTCCGATTTACTCCAATACCTTGCGCACATGGCAAAAGGTCTGTTCCCACTTACCGCAAGCAGGAGGAATTGGGGCGTAGTCAACCAAAACCTGGTATCAAAGTATGTCCCATCCTTAACTTGAAAGTAAAAATTGCAAAGAATCAAGAGAGCGAACATCTATGCCTGTACATGGTTGGGAATGTCCCTGATTAAGCTTCACTTTCCCGTATGTGAGTTTTCATTGTGGCTCAGATTGCCATGATTCACACCCCGCCCTGAGCTCGTTTTTCTTGCCCAGAAGGATCCAAACCGGAGATTTATTGTACCCCCCCAAAATGTGCCTCTCTCCAAACGGCGCATGTTCCAATCAACCTTGTTTTAGGTGGAAGATCGATCAAACCACCTTCCCAGGGGTGGAACATCTTTCAAGCCCCCTGTTCTTTGGTGCCAGATCGCTCAAAACACCTTCTTCGGGGTGAACGATCTTTGAAACCATTGTCTTTGGTGGAACATTTCCCGCCCTGTCGCATTGCCGGGCTCGGGGTAGCCCATGATACGTTTCGTTCAACACCATCCCTTCCAACGGTGTGGCCTGGTGGTTTGGTTTGGTGCTTTGATAGGTTTCAACACCATCTCACTTGCCCTGAATTGGTGTTTGCGATTGATGGCTTGGATGGGGTGGTTGTCCATTCAACAACAACAACAAGAACGGGGGGCCGCTGAAAATCGGTGAGGCGATAATCCATAACATCCCTAGAGGGAAACCAAGAAAAAGCAGACTCCTTTCGTAGCCAAAGCAAGGATTGCGGATTTTGAACAGCCCATCGCTCCCAACTAGACTGCTCAAAAAGGCATCAACCAGGAGGGGCCCAAACACTGAAAAGACGATTGTCCCGATTTGAACTCATATTCAGTCTAATTACTCTACAATCTAGCACAAATTCGAAGGAGACCCCAAAGAAGGTGGTTCATAGGTCAAGAAACACCCTCTTTCAGCAGACCTTTCACCACGGAAGCGCCTGTCTTTTCCCAAAGCTCGGCTCACCCTTCGAAAGTTCCCGACGCCCCGGAACGCACAAGCCCCTCCGCGCACCGTATCCTACCAAAAAAAAAACAAGGTGGACCGCAGTGGCCTATGTAGGCTTGAAGGCTGGTTCCCCACACACACACACACAGACACACACACACATATACACACTGGACCTGGAGCAAGTTGGGATCAGATCTCCATCCAGAGTCATGTCTCATGGTCAAAACTCCCAGGGGCATGGACCATAGTTTTCCGAGGCCTTAGGATCTCTAAAGCTCCCATGGGCTGATGACTCAAGGAAAGGCGTGTTTTTTGACCGTACGTGGGCAGGTCTCAAAATGAGACCTGAAACTCAACAAATGTACTTCTTCAGCCGGTGTGCTTCTCTCTTGCGCCCAAGTTGGCACACTGCAGAGAGGCTTGTGCGGAGGACTTTCTAGGAATTGCCAGCAGATGGGAACTAGGCATGTGCAGCCATTGGGGAAGTTGTAACAGGGGTCATTCTGCGTCCCACACGAACATGGGTGCGTCTTTATTTTAGGCCCCCCCCATCCCCCACCCAAAAAAAAAGAAGAGATGATCCGGGGATGCACGATTTGCCCATGTCTTTTAGGGTATTCGCATACTTCGACCTCGACACATATGTCATTTGTTACCCTTTGGCTTCTTTGAGGTAAAATAAGTCACCAACCGCGAATACATTTACCAATCTTCGATTTGTTTGGGATGCCCTGACCTTAGGAACGAATTGCCCAATTCTGCTCTTGCATTGGGTTTGCACATGAAAGTCGTTTCCCTCAGTACTCATCCGCCAAATGCATGGGCCTTCGAACGGTCTTCCACCGGCTGAGATGTTTGGGTATGGCCTGCTTCTTTTGGGTTGAGGAAAGCAGCTTTATGCAACCAAAAGAAAACCTGATCTTTGTGGAAAAGTTAGAGCTCGCTCCCACGTGTCCCGAAACCCAAATGGATCATAGTCACATAGACAAACTAGAATCTCTTCACCCCATATTTCCCGAATTGAGCTCGTAGGCTCTCTCTCTCTCTCAAAATCCCGGCTCGCAACTGCCTGGCCCTCTGAGATCCAAAATGCACTTCTCGCAACTCCGGGTGGCGGTTGCGGATGCGGTGGCACCTCTTACCCGGTGGGTTTACCAGTTTTTGGCCAGTCACCAAGGGGGTTTCACTTCATCGATGGCTAGTAGCTGCGAAACGCCACGGGGAGTCCTGCGAACCAACGAACATCCTGCGGGGATATGGGGGGATTCCAACTTGGCGCAACTTCCCATATCAAAAACTTCGTCAAGGCGCATTTAGGGGGAATCCCCCCGTATCCCTGGTTCCCCCTCTATCCCTGCTAGTTGGTTTCCTGATATATATATATATATATATATATGTATCCATATATATATATACATATATATATACATATATATATATATATATACATATATATATATACATAGATAAATATATAAATATATATATATATAACCCGCCCAGAGCATCGCAACGCCCTCGCCGCGCCCGCCACCCGATCCGCGCCGCCCGATCCGTCTGTCGGACGGCACGAGCAAAACTCAGACTCAGCCGTCGGTCCTCGCCTGTGGAGAAACCACATGACTGTGGGGTGCACAATTATAATAACAGATATAGAACTATAATAACATGTATGTGCATATATATATATAAATACAAACATATATACATATATATACATATATATATATAGTATAAACATCGATCAATTCTAGAAGCATAAATAAAAATGTATATGCATATGTACAAACATATACACTCATATGTTGTCATAAATATCGATCTCCTTTGGATCAGTTTGAAGCCCCCTGCGCCGGGTTCAGGGACTGAACGGCTATGGCGGTGACGGAGGTTCGGGGGGGGGGGGGGCACAGTGACAGCTATGCGAGCCGGGGAGGGGGGAAGAAGTTTGCGAAGATTTCCCTTTCAAGACAGAAAGTGGTGTTTACTACTCAACTCGTCTTCCCAAAACAAGTAAGTCCAACTCCGGAATGGTCAGGAAACTGGAGGAATTCCAAAGGTTCCCTCATCCGTAAAAATGACATCGGGCTCAACTGTCCACAGATCGAGGGATTCTGAGAACCATCGTGGGACCACAACTCGGCCAGTTTGGATCCACATTTCGAAGGTGATCGCCTCTTGGGGCCACTCAAAATGGGAACCCTAAGGCTGGAGACTAGAGAAGGCTCCCTGCTCGCGAATCGCGGCCGAAGCAAACCTTGCAAACGCGTCTGGGAGCTCCTGGAGCTGGGGGCCCTCATCAGCTGGTTGGGCGGTTGCCGATTCAGCCGAGTCAACCGAAGGCGTTGAGAGACGCGTGTTCTTGCCATAAAATGAGGGAACCCCAAAATCGCGATTCTCCAAGAGTTGGCTTCCCTTTAAGCCAACCCCCAAAAACGGAGGGAATGACCAACTCTGAACCAAATGGGGAACCACACCCACAGGACTCACCCCACCCCGTGCGACGCGCTCGCCTTCTTGCTTGGCGGCTCCTCAGCCTCTGCCTCTTCCCCCTCTGCCGCCTCATCGTCCAGCTCCTGATTCGTTTTTGCAGTGCGTGTGACCCCAAAATGGTTGGCAGCATCACCAGCAAACCGAGGGCTTCCTACATCCTCAGCATCAGTTCCTCTCCGGCAAGGTAGGTAGGGATTTATGTATGCATGTTAAAAAGCAGCAGGGGGGTCCCCCGGATGATGGTCAAAGTGAGGATTCAAATACGGGGTGCAAATAATTCCTGTATATTTAGGGGCAAAACATCTAAAAAGTTGCGGGGGGGTTGGGGGCCCCCCCAAGATGATCGAAAAACTGATGATTCAATTAGGAGCAAAAAATCTAAAATGTAAAAAGTAGCGGGGGGGTTGGGGGGGGCGGCAGCCCCCCCCATGATGATCGAACAAGTGATGATTCAA